CCCCGCCTCTCACTGAGGGCACATAGGTACAGAGCCCAGCACCCCTCCAGGTGACTTTCTGCACTTTATATAGTATTGTTTAATATTGATAAATATTACATCTGAATGTCTTCAATGATTAAATAAATACCAGTATACTCCCTGACGAATACCCTGGTAAATACCGCAAGTACAGAGCAAAATATGTAAGAAACTCACATCTTCATCTTGAGAAGGTTGTATCATCTCCACCAGTCTCTGAATCACTTTCTCCTCATTCAGCCACTAATAGAAACAAAGAACTTTGTCAGGAAATCATAAAATTTCATTATTAAATAAAAAGGCTTCACAACGTTTCACCCTTTGCTGTCCACTTCAATCCTTAACATCAACTTAGAACTGTTAATAAACTATACCAGATGGCAATATAATTTAATGTGGACTGTAATATTCTAGTGTAAACTGCCTGAGAGGATATCATTTTTAGCAAAGGAGGGGAAGCATTTTGTTGTTACCCACATTGAGAACATCTTGTCGTAGCTGCTGTGGTTCGATGCAGGTGAGCATCCTGAGCAGCAAGTCCATGATCGCAGAGGTCCCGATGTGTTTTATCATCAAGTCTACAAAGTCTTCCTGCTTCCTCAGAAAATCAACTATCTTTAAATAAAAACAAGACAAGGTTTTGTCATACTGATTTAAACAGACTTTGTTACACCTATAAGTAGCATAGCATTTTATCCTCTCAGTATTTTTACATGTTGGCATCATTGGTGAAAATAAATAAATAAATAAAAAAAAATCCTACCTGTTCAGGCTTGCGTCCTATAAGAATAGAAAGAACTTTGGAGAAGAAGCTGGCCAGGAGGGGGTTGAGGGGCGGCTCATTTTGGAGGAAACTGTACAATTTCATCAGCAGTTTTTCATCTTCTCCTAGTCTGTCATTGATCTGGCTCACATCTGATGTAAGCAGCTCACATGATATGTTGGGATACCTGAGGGGTTAAAAAAAGAAAAAAGAAAAAAAAAAAGGCCCTTTTAGAGTTTTTCCAATAGTTACAGCACTGCTCATTACAAAGCAGATAAATATTTAAATGCAGGAAATTCTAGAGGTATGAGTTCTTCTCAAAGTTATATCCAACCAGATATCAAGAGTTTAAATTTAGTTGCTTCATTTCACCAGTTTATTTTGAGAAAACACTAAATTACAGCAGCACTGCCACCATTGGTTCTGTAAGTAGTGTAACAGGAATTTTCTACAAACCTCAGTTATACTGGTACACCAGACAGAATCAAACTTTTTTGAAAAAGTTTTCTTTTTTTCTTCAGATTTCCATATTTCAAAAAACAATTTGAACAACAGATCAAAACAAGTGTAGATAATTCTCCTGTGAATTCATATAGCTCAAGTGGGAGCCATATGTCCAAGTACTTCCATAGTATTTAAAGCAATGAGTGATTTTAAAGCAGACTACTGGATGTGAAGCTTTCCCAACTGGATTTTCCCACATAATCAGAAGTTTGGGGAAAAGCTCCCAAATCTCAGTTTGACCAATTTCTTCTGGCCTTGTGAACAAACTTGCTAACATTTCAACTTTTGTGGACATGTCAGCAGTTTGCTAGACACTGGAGTTACGCAACTTTGATTTAGCACCACAGATAAGTTTACAGAAAAACTGCATCCTGTAGGTTAAATGTTCCTGATGTCAACATACATCTTTGTCAAACTGTAAAATAACCATTTCCTTACTTGTATTTAACCTTTTCCTCAACATCAGTACTGGGTTCCTGTGTGATAAAGGTAACCAGGTCCTCCATACACTGTGGTCTCAGCAGGAAGTCCACAAGTTTGTGATTCTGGGCCTTGCACTCCTGCAGGACATCATCCTCATCCATTACCTCTGTAAGCGTCACATCCTCCTTCTCCAGCAATGTGTCAATGTGGGATGTGGTGTGGAGGTCAAATTTCCAAAACATGTTGGTTCTTTAATACACACATATATGGAAAAAAAGGACACAAATATGTTAAAACAGATTATGGGCAAAAGTGAGTCATTAAAATGAGTGCAAAAATGAAACATTATCAATCGAGATTCATCTAAGGGGCAATGATTTACTAAGGGATCACTCAACAATCGAGTAACAGTTCTTATTTCAGCTCACCTGTGAGTATGTTGGAGTCCTCACAGCAAAGCTCAGGTTAAAAAGAGGTTTGTTCTAGTCTTTGGGAGTTGTGGCCCATTCCAGGCTGACCAGACGGATGGGCAAGCAGGCAGATAGTGGTAACGGACACACTCACAAAAAGCGCACATACAGCAGTTCAACACGAACACACCTGTGGGAGAAAGACAGAAGCAGATGGGCATATATTAGGGCTGTGCGATATGACCAAAGTCTCATATCCCGATATAAGACATTTATCGTCCCGACAACGATATACATATCACAAAAATTTTACATTTTCTGTGAATCTCGGGCAACTCGACTTGAGTGAACCGTTTTCAGCTGGGCGTCGTGTACGTGGAGTCCAGTGTTACATAAGTTGAAACAGCCACAGTTTTCTTTGTGAGTGTTTATTACACGGCGTGCTGCGGGGAAAAGCCTGTTCTAAGGTTTATTTTTTAGCACCTGACTGCTCTTTCTAGCTTCTCATCTGTAAACACTCTGCATACTACTTCACGTGATTCAGTTTATTTTGATAAATCTCAACAGGATCTTCAGCTTTATTCCAAAAGGTTTATGTGGAAAATAAACAAGTGGATGGAGGAGCCACGTGATGGTCATCGTTGTTGCTAACGACAACGCATAAAAACAGTCACTTGTCTGTCTGTAGTGTGGTTATACTAAATATAAAAGAAAGAGAGAACTTTAAGAAATTCTACAGGGACCATCAAAACGATGAAAAATATTGCAGTAAACAGCTTATTTTGCAACATCACAAAACAAGCGATAACGTAATATGAAACGATAGATGTTTTCATATCATATCAGTAGCCCACCTAAGGCCCAAGATGACTGCCAGCTGGGGCTAACCAGCTGGCATTAAACACCAATAAAAAGAAACCTACAATAACTTACATGCATTTAGAAATCTCACACATACAAAGAGCTCAAAGAGTGACCTTTCTTTAAAGAACAAAAAGGCACAAATTCTCAATTATTACTATTTTAACCGTTCATCTTATAAAAAAATAAAATAAACTCCCCAGTCTCTTTCTCATCACCAACTGGGTATGAAGACTTGCATCTGGGCTAACATGACTCTACTACTTCATCTGTGCCTCATAATTAGAACTAGGCAATAAAACCAATTAATTATCGTGCAAAAACGTTTTAA